CAAAGAGATGTCATAATTTGGGCATTCTCTTGTACCCATTCATAGTACCCCTCTTATTCACTTTTCAATGGACCCTCCTTAATATACTTCAACTTGCCTCTTGCAATTAGAGATACCTCAACCGACTTGGCCCATGGGATATAATTAGTACCATTAAGTTTCACCATAATTGAATGAGAAGTCATGAGATCTGATTGCACAACTACTATAGGCTTAATGCTACTATTTGATGAAGCCATGAGTGAGAAGAGATCACTGATTTGTCACCTAGGAAAACTGTCAAACAGCTGGTATGCAACTATTGTAGTACACCTTTTTCTTTAGGAAAAACATCAAGAATCGTTAGCCCTCTACTTTAGAAACACTAGGGAAAATATTACACACTTACCACAAGGTGTCACCACACCACAAACCAGCACAAAATCACCACACATCAAGGAGCGCCTACCTCACAACAAGGCTGCCCTTTTCAAACTGCCAAATAGAGGGATTTTAGAAAAACACCACCAACTCACACAACACTGCAACTTGAGGCATTAAAGCCTCTTTTCCAAGGGAGCGACTAGTCCTCTTAATTCCTTTTCCTTTCCAACAAAGAATAGAGAATATTCTATATTCCTAGGGCACAAAAAAATTGAGACGTGAACAGTGCCGCCAACAGTACAGTCGACCTCAAAACTCTGATACCATGTTCCAACTTCAATAAAGAAAAGAAAAGTTGAAGAAAATGATAGAAAGAAGAAAGACAAGAAGATAGGAATAGAAATAGAAGGGAAAGAGAAGAAAAGAGGGAAGACTAGCAAGGAGAAATCTCACTCTCTTCTCCTTATTCTCAACCCAGATTGTATTAACATTTTACTAAAGCTGAAATGACAACAATACCCTTAGATAAGTTACAGCAGACATAAGAGAGAAAAATAATAAGAAAAAGACAATAATGCCCCTGTCACTAGTTCTAACAATTCTAACAGAAATAATAGGGTGATATAATACAACTATGGTACAAAAACACCCTTAGCTCCTACAATCTCTACATTAAGGATTTTAATGTGGCTACTTGGAAAATGGCTTTGGAGGTTTGGGGCTGAGAGGAATGTTTGGTAGGGAAAGCTTATTGCAGCTAAATACGATGAGCAGGGGAAATTGGGATTCGTCTAATCCTTTCAACTCTTATGGAAGCTCTCTTTGGAAAGACATTTTAAAGATATATAGTATATTTTCATTGGGTGTTAGTTATAAAATGGGAGATGGTAGCAGATTGGAATTTTGAAGAGAGGTACCTAGCATGTACAAAAAAGGAACCGTGATTTTTTTCGCCCCTTAGATAAGACATCAATCTTCCAGCCCTTTATAAACTCCGCCATCATTTTAGGGCAGCAGCCACTCACCTCGAACAGTTTCCAGATTTAGACCAAATCTCAAATAAGAATTTGAAGTACAGCAATAAGTGACTGATTCTATTTGCTCATCACAGAAAACACAGTTTGCAGAGTCTAGCACCATACCTTCCTTAGCAAGTTATCCCTTGTTAAAATTCTATTCAGATAGGCAATCCAAACAAAAAAAAATGATCCTCGGACCTACTGATAGAGTTGTAAAAAAGATTTTACTGTGAAATTTCCACAATTCTCCCATTCCCAACCTTTCTTCCCCCAAGTATCATATAATTTATGTAGCAATTCCACCTTGGAATCTACCTCCCAGTCATTCAAATTTCTTCTGAACTGGAGGAGCCAAAGGCACATTTCCATTTAGTATCTGCACAAAATCTGCAACCTGAGCTTCTTTATCAGCAGCTAGCTCAAAAAGAGCCAGAAAACTATCCATCAATGGCCTATTTTAAAACCAAACATCCCTCCAGTATTTCACCTGAAGCCCATCACCAACCTTGAATCTCACACCCTTTGAATAAATTTCAAAAGCTTTTCTCCTTCCAAACAGAACATCCATAGAATTGGTTTGATACCCCTGGAGATCCCATCCCAAATTTCTATACCTGTATTTAGCTACTACCACCCTCCCCCACAGACCTCCTTGATTTCAGAAAATCTCCAAATAGAGCAATATTCATATTTTTCACCTTCCTCACACCCAGACCTCCCTGGAGTCTTGGCTTACACACTAACCAAATTATATTTCTTTTTATCCTTCCACCCTCTCCACAGGAATTATTTCATTTTCTTTTCAATGAGAGATGCCATTCCATCCAGGATAGGATACATTGAAAGCAAATATAGGGGAATAGATGACAGCACACTTTTTAGTAAAGTGATTTTACGGTTTTTACCTCCATAAGAAAGATACTTGTTATCCCTTTGAAACATGTTTTCCTTCACCTTTTCTTGTTATCAGAAGATAAGATGTTCTGGTAGTGGACTCTATTAGTTGCAGGGAGGTAATGTTCTGTGGTCCCCTAAATTCTGGAAAAACCTGCACAATTGGGAGTTTGAGAACCTGCTGCAGCTGTTGAGCTCCTTGGGAGTCAATCTGTCAGGGTGGAGCAGGATGATACTAATGAGAGTTTCTTGGTTAGCCTAAGAATCTTAACCAAAGCTCTGGCTTTACTAGGTAACTTCTAAAGACAATTTTCTGCATTGGTCAGTTGCCATTGGGAAATATTTGACCAGAGATAACCTACCAAGGAAAGATATGCAGATCCAGGACCAATCCTGTGGTTTGTGTGCGATGGCAGCTGAATGTCTGGACCACCTCTGAATTCATTGTCCTTTTTTTTGAAGATAAAGAAAAAATTTTATTAAAACAAAAAGAAGTACAAAGAAAGGTGATAAGCAATCAACCGAGGGAAATTAAACACCCAATGAAAAACCAACTAAAATAAAGCAAAACCCTGCCAAGCAAACACCCCACAGAGGCCGACCCCCTTACAAAAGGAAACAAAATCAAATCAAAACAAACAATGAGATCCCAATCATCAAACAAAAAAACAGCTCCCCTTCCAGCCCCAAGAACCACCCAACAAGAACCCAAATCAAAACCCCAGCCCCCTAAAAGACTCTTATTCATGCAGTCTTCTTGTTCAATTTTTGAATGCAATCTTCTTGTTGTCTTCTGACTCCATTTTTGTGTTTTCTTACTATCTTGCTAGGCCCAATGCCAAACAGGCCAACTTTTATCCTTGCAAAAACCTTTGACGCTGTTATCTGTTGTTGACTCTCTCTGCTTTTCTGTGAGATCTGCATCTTCTAATTGTGTTTAAATTTCCAACTGCTTCTTCCAATTCTCCAACAGATTTCTGACCTCTATCTGACCCATCCTCCCCTCTCAATTCTTCTTCCTTTTCCTTGATTCTATTCTCACAGCCTTCTTTCAGCTCTTTCAACTTTTGAGTTATTAGATTACTTGCATTACAGTCAGCCACTTGATTATCCTTATTTTCCTTCTCTCCATTTCTTTCCTCCACGAACCTGGATTATCCTTACAGTCAGCCACTGAATTCATTGTCCTTTTGTTCAAGCCTTGTGGACTCATTTCCTGAAATCAGCCAGTTTATGTTGGGTTGTGCCACAATCCCTCTCTGATCTTCTTTCTAGCTGGCAGCAGCAAGCCAGCAAGGTGTGAGTGAGATTTGGAAATCAATGTCAGGTATTGTTCCTGCGGTTGTTGTGTGATCAATATAGGCTGAAAGAAATAGAAGGATCTCCCTAAACAAGTGCAGATTGAAGGAGGAGCTTATTAAATTCATATTTGACAAGCTTGGCTTTTGGTTTTCTGTTACTAAGGGAAGTGGCCATCTGTCCCCTTGGCAGTCCTTGCAGTGTCTGGAGTTCTGGAGGGTGTATTAAGTGTGTCAGTGTATCTCGTGGGTTCAGAGTCTAGCCTTCTGTTTTGGGCCCTGCCCCTCTTGTTGTACTATTATCCTGAATTGAAATAAAATCTTGCTTTACCTCTTTCAAAAATAATATATATATTAAACCAAGAATCCCTTATTCAATAAAATTCTTAAGGGTGTTTAATAATGGCTGAATTGGTTGAACTGAATTGCCTATCAGTTTGCCTTTTAGAAATAAGCAATTGAGCCCTGTTTGGGAACACTTAAAGTAAGTACTTATTTTAAGTGTTGGGACCACATAATAAGTGGAAAATAAATACTTATTTGTGTTTGAAAAATAAGCACAATAAGTGCTTATTTTGAAAATTAGTACTTAAAAAATAAGCCAGAGTTGGGTGGATTCTTTTAAGTGCTTATTCAATAAGCACTTATTTCTTTTTTTCTGGGACAAGACCATCCCCAATGTTTTGTTTATTTTCCAAGGACTGCCCCCAACTTCAAAAAGCCAATAGAACCTATCATTTTTTCCCATCGAACATTAACTTAACTCACAGTGGCTATGATTATTATGGAATCTCAGCACCAGGTTCACGAAACCCCACTGTTTAACTCCATTTTTTCTGTTTTTTTTTTTTTTGCTCCATTTTTCATTATTTCTCCAATCCCTTTCTATCATCTATTATTTTTTGGATTCTAATGCACTGCTTTGCTTTGGATCCAGCCTAGCAAGCAGCATCTACTGTTTTACTTTGGTTTTTTCAACAAAGTGTGCCAATATAATATTCATAAATATCAAATATATGCCTATGTTAAGTTAGGGCTAATTGTCATTTCCAAAAATATAAATACTTATGAGATAAGCAACTCACCAAACACTGTAATATAAACAAATTAAGTACTTAAAATAAGTATAATTGGTTTGAGAAAAGACCTCCCAAACCAAAAAAGTACTTACTCAAATAAGTACTGAAAAATAAGTACTTATTCAACCAACCACTTATTTCCAAACATGCCCTCTTCTTAATTGCTGCAAGTCATGTCAGGGTGACTTCTTTACCCCTAAATATTTCACTATATGACTATTTTATCCAATAAAAGACAAACCATTAAACAGTTCAATTTAGCCAAGTTAGCAGTTATCAAATGGCCCGGGGGGGCATGGAGAGTAAAACTAATGCATAAGGACAAAAAAGATACAGTAACTACATACATTGCAGATGCCACAGATTGCCAAACAGGCTTCCAGACAATTCAGAAGATCAATCTTCCTTTCCCTAGTAAGTTTCTTTGCAGTCTCAAAAGAGGAACACCAAACGGAATTAGAATCATAACTCTTAACAAGAAGAGGGTGATCACAAGCTTGTCGTAGGCGCAAAAGCATCAATAAAATATTAACATAATTCTGTTTGATGGTCCCTGCAGCTGCATAAACCTGAGATAGTATCCACATTAAAAACCAATGAAAATACAAATTTCAGGAAAGAGTTAGAACCATGATTACCAGAGTTTCAATATACAGAAACCAAAGTAACTGTTGGCAGCACAAAAAATTCGCACATGTACAATGAAAAAAAAAAATTCACCTTGAACTGTGCACATGAATCAGCCTCTAGTTTGGAGTAGAAGTCTCGTTCTTCTTTTGAAAAATCTACCTTCTTCAGTTCTATGGATTTTGGTGGTAAAGTAATTATTGGTTTTCCATCAATAATAGTGCCTAAAGAACAAAAAACAAAGGCCCACTGAATAAGCATAACTCATCAAAGAAGATTTCACACTGATACAACCCTAGGTGCAGCCACCACAAACATGATCAGATCAACCAACATGTACAAGGATCCTGTCTTGGAACAAGATGTTGCTAATAATAAAACATATCCAACGGTTTTCCATTTGTCACCACAAGCTATAGTATAAACAAACAAACAAAACAGAATCTGAGAGCCAATTAAGTAGACCCCCTCTAGTAAAATCTTCTAAAAAGATTTATGAAAATGTCCAAAATACCCATGCAGTTACTTTTGACAAAAAAAAATATTTATTTTCTCTCTTCATATGAATCACTAACTCAAACCCTTTCAATCTCTTTTCTGAAATTGATTTATTTTCCAAATTTTCCCTTCATATGAATCACTCAAAGGTAAAGCTGCAACTTTACATTTTCTTGTTTTTGTTGTTCATAAAGTTTGTATTTTTTTTCCATAAAAACCAGCCTCAATAGTAGCTTTATGGGTATTTTGGACATTTTTGTGGATCTTGTTAAAGGATTCTAACAAAGGGGGTCTATTTGCAACTGTATCAGAAAGTTTATGGGAGGTGACTGCAATTACTAAACTTCAGGGAATGTTTTATCAATGATCAGAAACTTNTTTTTTCCATAAAAACCAGCCTCAATAGTAGCTTTATGGGTATTTTGGACATTTTTGTGGATCTTGTTAAAGGATTCTAACAAAGGGGGTCTATTGGGGTCTATTTGCAACTGTATCAGAAAGTTTATGGCAATTACTAGCAATTACGGAATGTTTTATCAATGATCAGAAACTTCAGGAGATGTTTCAGCAATTTACCCTAAAAAACAGAAAAAAAAAAAAAAAAAAAAAAAACCTTGCTAAAATATGATTTCTTTAGGTTATTCAAGACTCTATTTAAAAACCTTATTGAGTTTTTTTCCCATCATAGTGGGTAAATATAAAATTGTTCTAGTGCTTCTAATGCATGTTTGGTACACTTGGTTGTATTAAGTACACATATAGTAGATATGAGTTAAAATAGAGTAAAATTACCTTTCTATGTATATTTAAATGTTTAGTATGTGTGTTCTTAATTTTTTGACAAATTTCTAAAATAATAGATTGGTCTTATGTTATGAGCACGTGCACCACACGGCAGCAGTTGAGGCAGCAGCGCGCATACGATAGGCACCGCACGGCAGCGGCACCATGAGCCGCGCGGCAGCGGCACCACGCGCA